CCCAGTTGTTATTCCTTCAAATTTTGAAAAAAATATTCAACAAAACCAAATTATTATTTTGTTTGATTTTGCAGAAAATTATAGTTTTATAGCACAAGACACAGTTCAAGGATTTCATTGGAATACTAGCCAAGCAACACTACATCCAATTGTTATTTACTACAAAGACTTGAAAATAAACTCAAACCAATAAATTAAAGCATAAAACCTGACTGTTAGCAACATGGTGCTAATGTTGTTAATGCATTTTTAGCTAGAGCTTTAAAAGATATAAAAATTGTCTGGCCAAATTTGTTTTTATGTTATTACTTTGGTGATGGAGCAGCTAGTCATTACAAAAGCTATAAAACTCTTAGCAACCTATGTCATCATTTTCAAGGCCATGGAATATATGTACATTTGTAGAGTGGCATTTTTTTGTCACTGTAAAAAGTTCATGTGATGGCATTGGTGGGACCATAAAACAACTTTTAGCAAGGACTTGCCTTCAAAATAACTAAATATTATCTGTCAATAAAATGTTTAAATGGTGTACTGAAAATATAACAGGTATTAAATTCATTAGAAATTCTGAAAGGTTTTAGCAAAAGTAAATAGTTTAGTTGCACAATGTCAATCAGCAAGTCAAATTTCTGAGCAAGAATTTGAAGAAATATCATTAAATTTTGAAATGTTTAACAAAAAGATTTAGACTACTATTTTGAAAGCAAGATTTATTATCTATAATTTTATTTTTAACATTCTTTTATTGTAATTGAGATTTATATCTTGGCTTTTTTTGAGTTTCAAATTTATTCATATATTGTAAAAATATAAGCCTTTATGTACCGATATTTTTATTTTAAAATTTATTTTTTAAATTTCTTGTTTAAAAAAGAATAAATGAACAATTATAAAGATATTGACTATATTAACAAATTCAAAAAGACTGATAAGATTTCCAAAATCCTACTTTGATAGAAAGTTTAAGTTATCACAGCAGCTAAAAGACATCCCCAAATTTTTTTTTCTGTATCTTTTCTGTATTCTTCTTATTTTGAAGATACATTCTTAAAAATTTCTAGTATTAAATTTATTGGACACATCAAGTGTTACATTTATTGGTTAATTCTCAATTCTTAAATGGATCTAACTTTAAAATTTCAAGATTGGCTTTTTTAGGAGGGTGTAACTTTTATAGTTTTGAATCCAATATTACTAAACTTATCATTAATGATGACTACCACCTATATTCTCACAAAATAACATAATTTTCACATTTGCTCGTGTATTCTGATTTCATTTGCTTTATTATTATTGAAGTTTATCTTCAAATATTTTTTTATAACTTTTAAGTACAAGATTGCCAAAAATAATTACTTTTGTAAAATAATTATTTTTTCTTCTTCAAAGGTCGAGGTAGATTACTGCAATAAGATTGATTTTTAAGTATTTAAGATAGTTGGTTTTTTATTTATATGGATTTAAAAAATAGACTTTTTGTGAAAAAGACAATAAACAACGCGAAATAAGCTAAGACATTAATTTTTAAATTGAATTAATTTTAGAATGTTTTAAGATGAGTTGAAATTTTTGAGAAATTCTTTTACCGCAAAATCTACAGGTGTAAATTTCAAAAGAATCTGAGATAGCCACTCAGGAAATTTTCAAATAATTGGCTCATTTTATATGGAATGACCCTATATTATATAGGATGTCAAGTTTACCTTGTGGCATTTGTCATAAATCTGTTTCAAGTAATTACAAAACAATACAATGCAATTCTTGCAATGGATCCATACTAAATGTAATTAATAATAGCTACATTTATCTTATGTCAGAAACAGGCAACTCTTCAAGTCTTTCTTATATAAATATATTAACATTCTATATTGATGACCTTAGATGTCTGTTAGCATTTATGAAAAACAAACCAAAAATGATTGCAATATTTGAGACTCATTTAAAACAAAATGGCAACAGACAAAATTTCATTAGATAAAGAGGATTTGAGAAAAAAGATATAACATTTAATTTATAGTTTTTTTTTTTGCAAAACTATAAAATTTTGAATAAATAGAGGATTTTTTTAAATGTTTCCACACTTGTGTGGTTTAGACAGGTTTCAATAATGCCTTTTTTATGTTAAGTAAAATGGATTTGCTAAAGTAATGTTTTGCAATTCAATGTCCAATTAGGCATTAACCAGTTTTGCAGACCAGCATTTGCATTCCTTAATTTTTAGCGTCTTTGCTTTCTTGAACTTCAGTATTGAATATATTGAATGCATAGTGGTGTAGTGGTAGAACACTCGCTTCTTAAACAAGAAGAGCCTTACGGGAAAGCAAGTCTTCCCGGGAAGCGCCTGTGGTTGCACAACTTGTTTGTCCACGATTAAAGTAATTTTTTTAGACACATTGACTACAGCAGTTTGCATCTTTTAACTTTTTAGTCATTTAATATTTTAGCATTTAATAATTTGCATTAAAAAGCTAAACTTATTTACTGAGTAAAAAAAACAACAATAAAGAAGTAAACAAATTTGTAACGAAATATTAAATTTAAATTAAATACACTAGAAATATTTAGAAATTTGAAATAAAAAAATTTAAAAAACATTTTTCTCTAAATTTTTACACAACTTTTGTATTTTTTTAGGGTGGTTGTTATTTTTAGCAAAAGAAACTTATACAAGTTGAGGAAAGAAACATTTTATAACAATTTAATAACAATTGAAAATTTTGATATGCAACTTATTCATGATTTTTATCAGCCCATATAATTAAGAAATTTTATTATTTGAATAATAAATTTTGTAATTAAAAAAATTAAATAAAAGAATTGCATGTTTTTTTTTATAAATGTATTTACCACATTTGATGCCTGTCTGAAATTGTTTCCTTTATATTGCCAAGTTATTTAAAACTAATACAAAATACTAGAGATAATGAACATGATTGTTTGTTTAAAAAAATGTGTTTAAATACTTAAATTTTAAAAAAAATTTCTAAAACTTTTGTTAAAAAAGTTCAGTAAACTACAAAGGGCTAGTCCACAACCTTTTGGAGCAACCCTAATAACAATAGTTCATCAGAAAAAAAACTATTGGGTTTAAATGCACAATTTGATGAATCCAACAAAAATGCAGACTATTTCAATAGGGGTAGTGAAAACAACCAAATATTTTATATTTGAATATTAGAATTAATGACTTTTTTTTTTTTTTACATGAAAAACTTGTTAAAAAATTAAAAAAATATTTTCTACAAATAAATAGCATTTAGTTTTCTTGCTATCCTGCTTTCATCGATAAAAACAGTAAAGTTTAGCAAAAACATTTTTGAAAAAAACTTTAAATTTGTCCATATTTCTTTAAATTTGTCATTATTTCCATAATATGCTGATTAACAAAAGCCACAAATAAATTGTATATCAAAGAATGTTTTTATTTTTGTTATATTTTTATCTGCTTTTTCCTCGAGATGTATTAATTTTGGTAGCGGAAAATAACAAACACCCTAAAAAAAAAGAAAACTAAAACAGTAAAACATTTAGGTTTTCTTTTTTAACATAAAAACATCAAGTTGTCTAAAAAAATTACTTTAAACGTGGACAAACAAACCATGAGACTGCACACGATTCCCAGGAAGGCTTGCATATGTTTAAAACTTTTTAAAACATGTATGTAAAAAACGCTTAAAAAACTCAATAAGAATCCTAAACATGACCTTGCATGTTTAGTTCATTGGCTAAGATCTTTTTTAAGTTATTTTGTGAAGGTTTTTAAAATAAAAATTTAAAAAACTTAACAAAAAGACCTAAACACACATGTTTTAAACTGTGAAATCGATAAAATTTGTAGATAATTCTTATACTTTACATGCTAAAAATCCTGAAACTATCTCTAGTAATTTAAAAACCAAGAACATCTACTGTTATGCTCTTTGTGTGCAAAGTCAGTGTTTTCTTCTAATATTTATATTTATTTTTAAACAAATTCACTACATAATTTTTTTAAATTTAAATTTTTCTTAGAAAACTACTTTAAAAAATTAGTTTATTAATATAAAAAATCTCTGATGTTTTTTATTACAAGTTTCCAGTGCAACTTCTTTCCCAATTAGATCCAATTAGTTTCACAGCTAGCTTTAACTCTGCACTTAAATTTTTTTTGGATTTTTTTCTCCAGTTAATTCGGAGAACAAATTAGTCTTTAATAAAGTAGTCTATAAAGGGTTGGGAGAATTTGTTGAGCAATGATTTTTTTCAATAAATCTAAAAAAATGATTGTTACACAATTTCGGAGAAAGTTTGTAAGTATGAGGTTTGGTAACCACCTTACTAAAACATCTAGTCATCTCTAAATAAGTTATTTTCTGTCATCTAGAACTTCATCAATATATTGTGATGATTTACTGTGTCATTATTTAATTCAACCAAAAACATGTCTTCTGGACAAACTTCCAACCATAATTTAATACCATGATTTTTATCAGCATCAACATAATTTGGAGACTTGATTATTTTGACAGTTAAATATTTTATTGAAAACATTTTCTTGCCAGAAAAAAGAAATCTCAAAGATTGTTTTTTCGAAAAATTCTAATGAATGTAAATCAAAAAAGAAATTATTTTTATATAGCTTTTAAAGCATTTTCTTAATTTAAAGACGTAAAGAGAACTATTGATTTGTAACAAAAAAAAAAAAACAAGCAGCAAAACTAAGCATGTAAAGCATAATAAAAAAAGTTAATATTTAACTGAAAAAGGATAACATAAAAATATATATATATATAAAAAAAAATGTTACATTTTTAGGGTTTTAACTTTTATAGTTAAAAGTACAAAAAAAAGTTCTTTAAATCAAAAAAACATGAGAAAAACAATTAACATAAAAAAAAAAAAAAAAAAAAATATTTTTACAACTCTGTAACAAAGTACTTGACTTTTAAAATGTTTTGTGTCACAAAACATTTCAGAAGTAAATGTTAAGTAATTTTAAATAGATCAAACATAATTACCTTTTTTGGAGGAAGTTCTGGTAGAACTTTCTGGTGAACTCGAAGTTTCTAAATGATTCAATTTTATTATAAACATTTTAATTTTATATTTTTTTGAGCAAAGAAACACAAAAACTGGATAAAATAACAAATGTAAAAAACAATGTATAGTTCTTGTTAGCAAATCTTTTAATACTAGCAATAGCAAAATATTAGTTGACAATAAAAACTTTAATTAAATAACATTAAATGACATTAACAAACAAAATTTTGTTTAAATAGCATTAAATGACATTTTATTAACAAACTGAATTAAATTCAAATGCAAAAACATTATTTTCTTAACAATATTTTATGTGGAAATGCTACAAAAGTTGTAAAACTTTTATGGTTCAACAAAGTTAATTTCTTTTAAACCTTTTGCTAAAAATAATAAATATTACTTAAATAAGTGGTTTTAAACAATATAGATATGAAATCTATGAAAAAAGTAGTGAGAAAATAAGATGTTTGAAACTAAAAGTTCTTAGTAAAAACAGAACTAAATATTTAAACATAGTTTTTTTTTAACAATTGAGGAACCCATTTGCAAAACGCTATAAGTCCGAGTAAATTGATTTCGAGAAATTAAAGGAAAACGTGCCTAGGCTTAATTAGCGCTACAAAAAAATTGTGTTTGTTAAATTTACGCTATTGCAACTTTAATCATTATAGAGACAATTAAATAAAAAAAAATTAAATAAAAAAAAAGTAGAGAAACGTTAAAAAAAATGCAGATCTTTAGGATCTTGAAATAAACGTTGTTGAAAAATGGACTTAATTTAATTTGAATATTTCAGATATACTTAGATTATTTTGAAAATTTTTGGTTGAATTCAGATGGATTGTTTGCTTATTAAAACAAATGGAAATGTTTTGAAGGATTTAATTTGCACGAATTATAAACTTCTTTATAATTATATTATAAAAAAGGTATTGGAAAAGGAAATTTAAAACATAAAGAATGAAGAAAAGACTATAATAAAAACCTAGTTTTTTATTAAGAAATTGATCTTTAACACAACAAAATTTAAAAAGGATAAATACATCAAAAAGATAAATATGTCTGCATACAGCATCTTCATCAAAACAGCTGCATGTAGTATCTTCCTCGTCTTCTACGCGTTTTTCTATTATAAAGAATCATTAACAATACTTTTTAAAAAATTAAAATGATTATCTTGCTCCTAATTCACTCCTGCATGCACAAGAATCAAACTATTGATATTTTTCTTTTTAACCTCTGCAACTGGGACTCATTAACAATACGTTTTGAAAAATTAAAACGATTATTTTGATCCAAATTCACTCCTGCATGCACAAGAATCAAAACTTTTGATTTCTTTCTTTTTAGTCTCTGCAACTGGGACTCCTTTCTGGATATGAGATGGACAAGATAAGCAATCATGGCCTCTTTTTGTTATAATTTGAGGACTGTTAAGAAAAACTTTGAAATTTGGTTCTCCTTGGACTTTAATATTTTTAGGCAATCTTCTTGTCATAAAAAAGCGTTTATTTTCCTGAATTTTGATTGGCAATGGCTTTTTCAAAACTCTTAAAGTTACTGATTTGAAATTCAACACATTTCAGTCTTTTCCTGCAATTTTCACTGTTCCCTGGGTACTGTAAACATTATAGTACTCTTCTGGAGAATATATTTTTTCAATTTTTTTCAACTTTTTTTCCAAAGTACCAAATACACGGTCACAAGGCGAAAAATGTATGTCCTCGAACAGGAAACAAAAGTTCAATTGTTTTTACTAATATCAGTGCATGTCTTAACAGCCAGATGTCTTAAGAGCCATTTTTCTCTAAATTTTTATACAACTTTTGTATTCTTTTCTTTTAGGGTGGTTGTTATTTTTAGCAAAAGAAACTTATACAAGTTGAGGAAAGAAACATTTTATAACAATTTAATAACAATTGAAAATTTTGATATGCAACTTATTCATGATTTTTATCAGCCCATATAATTAAGAAATTAATTTGCTATGTATGCTGGAACTATGAGAAAGTTTGTTAATTTTTCTTTTTTGCGTTTATATATCTTTTGGTTTTTAAAAATGACTTTGCTATATTTGACATTTTTTCTCAATACTTATGTATTATGAAAATAAGAAAATAAATTTATTTGTTTACTATCTATTTTTAATTTTATTATTTGAATAATAAATTTTGTAATCAAAAAAATTAAATAAAAGAATTGCATGTTTTTTTTTATAAATATATTTACCACATTTGATGCTAGTCTGAAATTGTTTTCTTTATATTGCTAAATTATTTAAAACTAATACAAAATACTAGAGATAATGAACATGATTGTTTGTTTAAAAAAATGTGTTTAAAAACTTAAATTTTAAAAAAAACTTCTAAAAATTTTGTTAAAAAAGTTCAGTAAACTACAAAGTCCACAACCTTTTGGAGCAACGCTAATAGCAATAGTTCATCAGGAAAAAAACTATTGGATTTAAATGCACAATTTGGAGAATCCAACAAAAATGCAGACTATTTCAATAGGGGTAGTGAAAACAACCAAATATTTTATATTTGAATATTAGAATTAATAACTTTTTTTTTTTTTACATGACAAACTTGTTAAAAAATTAAAAAAAATTTTTTTTACAAATAAATAGCATTTAGTTTTCTTGATTTCTTGTATTCATCGATAAAAACAGAAAGGTTAGCAAAAACATTTTTGAAAAAAACTTTAAATTTGTCCATATTTCTAGCGCAAATAATTTCCTTAATATGCTGATTAACAAAAGCTACAAATAAATTGTATATCAAAGAATGTTTTTATTTTTGTTATATTCTTATCTGCTTTTTTCTCGAGTTGTAATAATTTTGGCAGCGGAAAATGACAAACACTCTAAAAAAAAGAAAACAAAAACAGTAAAACATTTAGGTTTTTTTTTTTTTTTTTTAAATTTTTTTCAAATTCTTAAAAAACTTATTATATAAAAACATCAAGTTGTTCAAAAATTTTACTTTAAATGTGAACAAACAAAGCATGAGACTGCACACCAGGGTACATGGTTTTAACCAAATGCATTAAACCATTGGTTTAAACCATAGTTTAAACCAATTAAAAAAATATTGGTTTAAACCAAACTTATGTTTTTTTAAAAAGATTTAAACTTACAACAGGAAACTAAGACAGGATTATGTTCACAAATATAACTAATCTTCAATATAGATATATTTTTTTAAATCCATAATTTTTTTTTTTTTTTTTTTAATTTTTCAATATGCTTCATCCAGGATACACTTTACCTAATAGAACTCAAATTGGAGGAGAAATATTAGGTAGGGTTTACACAGAAGAAATTGAAAAATGTAATGTATTGAATGGGAAAATTGCAGCCATGTCTTCAGGTGGCTGGAGTAATGTACATAATGAAGCTATAGTTTGTATCTCTGTAATTACAGATAAAATTAACATTTTAGTAGAAACAATCAATACTTCTGATCATTCACCTACTGGTGAATATCTTACACAATTAGCAAGAAAAGCAATAGACTTTGTAAGGCATATATTTGAATGCACAGTAAAAAGCTTTGTGACTGACAATGCAGCTAATATGAAATTAATGAGACAAGTATTGTCATCTGAAAGAAATATTATCATAACTTATAGGTGTGCTGCTCATATGCTGAATCTTTTAGCAAATGATCTGAACATTGAAAATGTAAACAAGCATGTTACACAAATAATAAAAAATATAAGAAATAATCATCTTTCTGATTAGATCTGATTAGAAAATGACGCTGGCTTGAATTTCGCAGATAAAGAGTTCAAGAATTTACCAATATTATTCAAATTAAAAGCCAAATCTGTTATAACATAATGGATATTGAAAGTTTATTAAATGCACCAGCTTCTAGTGCTGGAATTGAAAGAATTTTTTCAACTTTTGGTCTTGTTCATTCTAAGTTAAGAAACCAATGGGGTTTGGGGGGGGGGGTGTAGAAAAAGCAGCAAAGCTTGTATTAATATATAGAACATTAAACAATGATATAATGAATAATTTTGATGAAATATAACAATAATATTGATAAAGAATATAGTTTACTCAAATAAAATACATAATGGTTTTTTCAATTTAAAAGGATAACTAAATACTAATTTTTTAGTAAAAACCTAATTTAAACCAAAAAAACCATGGTTTTTTTGGTTTTTTAAAAAAACCCATGGTTTTTGGTTTTTTACAAAAAAAACTGTTTTTTTTTTGCAACCACACGCTTTCACACGCTTTCCAGGAAGACTTGCATAAACTTTCTAAAACATCATTTTGCTTATGATACTAATTATTGTATGTAAAAACGCTTAAAAAACTCAATAAGAATCCTAAACATGACCTTGCATGTTTAGTTCATTGGCTAAGATCTTTTTTAAGTTATTTTGTGAAGGTTTTTAAAATAAATTTTAAAAAAATTAACAGAAAGACCTACCACACATGTTTTAAACTGTGAAATCGATAAAATTTGTAGATAATTCTTATACATTTCGTGCAACTGTACATGAAAAATCCTGAAACTAATAATTTAAAAACCAAGAGCATCTACTGTTATGCTCTTTGTGTGCAAAGTCAGTATTTTCTTCTAATATTTATACTTATTTTTAAACAAATTCACTACATAAATTTAAATTTAAATTTTTAAACATTGTTGATACAACCCCCTCTTAAGACTATAGTTCATCAATATAAACTAAAAACATACTAAAGTAAAAAACTCAGTTTTAAAAAAATTGAAATAACTAATTCAATTTTTTTTTAATTATCATTAAGTTAAGTTTCTAAGAAAAATCAATTAATGTAGCATTTGATATATGAATATAACAAAATTGTGTTATTCAAACAGTATTAGGAATATTATTAAAAATATTGCTATAAAGCAAACATTGATATGGATTTACATGAGCTACTGACACATAAAACAAAATTAATGATCAGTAACAATGATAGAACAAGTAACCAAACTAAGCTAACTTGTATAAATGCACATAATTTGTTTCACATAAAGAACCAAACTTTTGTTTTTGCTTTCAATCCAATTTCAATTCAAAATTTTACATTTTTAGGGTTTTAACTTTTATACTTAAAAGTACAAAAAAAAAAAATCTTTAATTCAAAAAGACATGAGAAAAACATTTAACATAAAAAAAAATATATATATATATTATTTTTACAACACTGTAATTAAGTACTTGACATTTAAAATGTTTTGTGTCACAAAACATTTCAGAAGTAAATGTTGAGTAATTTTAAATAAATCAAACTTAATTACCCTTCTTAGAAGAAGTTCTGGTAGAACTTTCTGGTGAACTCGAAGTTTCTCAATGATTCAATTTTATTATAAACTTTTTAATTTCATTTTTTTTTGAGCAAAGAAACACAAAAACTGGATAAAATAACAAATGTAAAAAAAATGTATAGTTCTTGTTTACAAATCTTTTTTTAACTAGCAATAGCAAAATATTAATTGACAATAAAAATTTTATTTAAATAACATTAAATGACATTAACAAACAAAATTTTATTTAAATAGCATTAAATGACATTTTATTAACAAACTGAATTAAATTCAAATGCAAAAAAATTATTTTCTCAACAATATTTTATGTAAAAATGCTACGAAAGTTATAAAAACTTATAAAAAGTTATAAAAAGTTATAAAACTTTTATGGTTTACAAAGTTAATTTCTTTTTAACTTTTTGTTAAAAATAATTAATATTACTCAAATAAGTGGTTTTAAACAATATAGAATTCAAACCTATGAAAAAAGTACTGAGAAAATAAGAAATATGAAACTTAAAGTTCTTAGTAAAAACAGAACTTAATACCTAAAGATAGTAAACTTTTTAGTTAAAAATTACTATTATTACTTAAATAAGTTATGGTTTGGAACATATTGTTCAAAACCATAAACCTTATTTAAGTAATAATTGAAACCTAAGAAAAAGGTGTTAAGAAAATAATAAATAAATAACTAAAATTATAAGTAATAATAAGTCATTAATAAAAACAGAGCTAAATGCCTAAATATAGTTTTAATTAAATGTTATTTTTTAGTTAACAATAATTATTACTTATATTAGTTATGGTTTTGAACATATTGTTCAAAATCATGTTTTTTATCAACTTGCATCCAGCATGTCTGCAAGTAACCACTACATAAGTTGAGACCATAAAACAACAAATAATTTCTAAGAGAAAGAAAACAGTTGACAGAAGACTTAAAATACTGATTTTTCTAAAAGTCAGGAAAAAATAAAAAAAGGAGAGAATTCCAATGCATTGATGCGCAAGTAAAGAATCTAGATTATTAAAAAAAAAAATTTTCAAAACATGAAGATATGTGTTTGAGTTTGAGTAATATCTTTACTTCTAAAGAAAAAAAAAAAGTAAAAAATTGCAACATTGTTGAATCATAAGTAATGCAAGCTTAAGTTATGGTTGATGGAACAAATAATGGAAGTAAATAACTTCCATTATTTGTTCCATTATTAAAAAGAGATGCAACGCTACAACTATGGATAAGTGTTTGATTGACAGAGTTTTCAAAATCAACAGCAACTGGGTGAGTTTTTATCTAGATAGTCCTATCACATTAAACTTAGTTATTAAAATCATAAAACAACATAACCTTTTGTAAAATTTCTTGGTAATTATTTTATAAAAATAAAACTATTGTAACTATAAAGCAAAGTAACAATTATTATCAAATTCCAAACTTCAAGGTAAAAAAAAATTTTTTTTTTAACACTTTTGAATACACAGTAAAAGACTTGAATGAGGAATAAAAAAAAGATTGAATTTTAGTAGATGGTAAAAGAGACACTAGCTATTTAGAGCAGTACATTATATTATAGTATTTATAAAAAAAAAGAGGATTTTTATTAGAAAAAACTGAACTAAGTACCTATATATTTTTTTAAACTTTTTAGTTAACAATAATTATTATTATTTAAATAAGTTTTGAACATATTGCTCAAAACCATAAAACTTATTTAAGTAATAATTGAAACCTAAGAAAATAATAAATAACTAAATGGTCTTAGTGAAAACAGAGATAAATCCCTAAATAAAGTTGTATTTAATGCTATTTTCAAATCAAATCTGTTTCAAATATACAAATATAGTTTAACTTAATGCTATTTTTTAATTAAAATATTTTTAAATCAAATACATAAATATAGTTTTATTTAATGATATATTTTTTTAAATCAAAAACACTGTCTTTGAGCAAAACCTCTTTAACAAGTAGACCACTTGAAAAATATCAATTTAAACATTTAGTATATAGAAGTGCCACAAACCTTGATTTACACTTCAAATTCAAAAACATTTTTTTTATCAACTCGTATCCAATATATCTGCAAGTAACTTAAAAATTATTTGTTGTTTTATGGCCCCAACTTACAAGTATGTAAGTTGGGGCCATAAAACAACAAATAATTTTTAAGAGAAAGAAAACGGTTTTCATAAGACTTAAAAAACTGATTTTTCTAATAGTAAGGAAAAAATTAAGGTAGGAGAGAATTCGAAAGCATTGATGCGCAAGAAAATGATAAATGAAAAAGAAAAAAAGTTTTAAAACATAAAGAAATGTGTTTCAGTTTAAGCAGTATCTTTATTTCTGAAGAAAAAAAAGTAAAAAATTAAATGAAAAAGAAAAAAAGTTTTAAAACATAAAGAAATGTGTTGCAGTTTAAGCAGTATCTTTACTTCTAAAGAAAAAAAAGTAAAAAATTACAACTGTGTTAAATGGTTGAGTTATGGTTGTTAAGTGGAAATAAATGGAGTAATTTGTTTGACCATAATAGTATTTGTAGAAAAGAGATGCAACGCTACAACTATTGGTAAGTGGTTGATTGACAGGTTTTTCAAAATCAAAAGCAATTAGAGTTTTCATCTAGATGCTATAGAAATTAAATAAATTATTCACAAAATCCTAATTTATTAAATTTAAATAATAAAACCATAAAACATCATAATCTTTTGTAAAATTTCTTGGTTATTATTTTTTTTAACTGTAACTATGGTAACTATAAAGCAAAATAACAATTAACATCGAATTCCAAATAACTGATGTTCAAGGAAAAAAAAATAGACAAAATATTTTTTTTGAAACACTTATTATTATTTTTTGAAATACTTAGGATGAGAATCTGGAACAATAAAATGGTAAGAAGAATAAAGAGATGCAACCTTAGCAGATGCTAATTTTGCAGCGGATTTGATATATACTTTTCAAGAAAGATCACCAGTATAGGTTAATCCTAGATGAAGAAGGCTAGGTTACTAATCAAGTACATTACTGTTCATAAATATAGGAAGATCTAGATTGTTGTGATAACAATTAGCTTAAAAGTGATCTGAGAATACCTTTGGCTATTCTCAGGTCACAACTCCTGAAGAATTTTTTTGGTATGGAAGATATGGAAGTAATGGTTACCATTAGAAACTGCAGCAGTACAATAAGAGGAAAACTATGGAGAAGAGTGAGGCTTGACTTGGAATTGTTAAGAGGTAATAAAAGTTTCCATGCCAGCCTAAATTTAAGAAGTTACAAAAAAAACACATTTGTCAGCAGGAAAACAAAAGATTTCTACCCAAGGACCATCACAAAGAAATTCACGGAAAGAAACTCAGTAAGCTTTATAGTAGTTGTAAGAGTTACAATGAAATAAAATGGGAGAACCTGTCGATGGAAAAGAATTAAATAGTAGTTTTAGAGAGATCAAACCATGATCAGAAGCAATTGAGGATTGCTTCTGATTACAGTGTGAACTTTGCAAGAGATAAGACTCAACAGAAAAAAATTTACTTTGAATGATAAATTTAGAGCATTTTATGATAAAAGTGGTTTTTTGTGTGGTCAAATAGCCAAAACAAAATAATTTTTTCTTTGGCAACTACATAGCTGTTAATATGTTTTGAAAATTTTAACATTTCAAAAATGCGCTGAAAAAACTAATCTAGACTTAACAAATAAAACACTTTAAAATTATCTAAATTTAAACTAAGAAAAGAAACCCTAACAATAGAATAAATAAAAAAACTAAAACACAAAAATTAAAAATAACTCAAAAAACTAAAATTTTAATATTATTTAAGTTTTTTTTATTATGATTTTTTTTTATTATTTTTATCTTTATCTAAATCTTTTATCTTGAATGTTTTTATAATATTATGGGAAACCCTTTTAAATAAAGTAACAACTTACTTTTATTACGATTATAATTATTACAATTAATTTTATAAAAACAAGACCTTCAACAACAACTGTGTTGTTGTTGAAGGTCTATATATATATATTATTATATATATTATTAGTTATATATTTTTAAATAAAATCTACTTAACATTATAAAATTTAAAAAATAAAACTAAAAACTTTCTTTTTATAAACGATCAATAAAAGTAAATCATAAGTTTTGCTAATATAAAAAAATTTGATTAAAAATAAAAATTTGTCAAAATGTTTCATACATACATGGAAACATACAAAAACTTGTACGTTCTTTAAACATCTAAAAAGCCAAATTATAACAAATAAATATAATTTGTATTTTTATGCTAATTCAGCTCCCCAAGGCAATAAAGGCCACTACAGTTGAGAGGCTACATTAATTTTGTTAAAAACCTTATAATCTGTACTCCAAAACATAAACCTTAACAAATAAGGCTGCTGCGCAGAAAAACAAGTTGAAAAACAAGTAAAAAAAAAAACATGTTTTTTTTTACTTATTTCAAAATTGTAAGTTTTTATACAAAGTAAAAAAAAAAAAAGAGTTTTTAACTTCTTTTTAAATCATTAAATGTTTTGTTTTAACATTTTTTTACATTTAATTGTTGAAACCAATAATAAAAATAAAGTCTTTAAAATGTTAAATAAAGTAAACAATTCTTTTAATAAATCTTCTTATTGCTTTTGGATGAAACATAACTCTTCATAATCAGATTACTTATAACATTTCCTCTAAGATTATTTTTTAAGTAAGGGACATACATATACACAAGCTTGTGGAGTTGAGCTCGATCCGCAAAGCCGCTGTTTTTTAATGAAGCCGCAAAAATGTTTTTTTACAGTAGAAAAATTTCATTTATTCATTGTTTAACTAATTTTTTGAATGTAAAAATTTATGTTACAAAAAAGAACAATTTGTATGACAACAACAAACATCTGAATTTTCAGGGGACTTGCTCTTGCAAATGACTCAGAAGAAGATCTTCTATTGTTCATAACCTTATAATAAAAAATTAGAAATCAAAAAAATGTAAAAACCAAGTTAAAAAGTTGTCAAGAGAAACAGGATTTACAAACTTATAATAAAGTTTTATGCCAAACATACTTTCTTACGCCATAAAATGTTACACCATTCTTTTACCTTAGAACTGCCTCTTTGCAATTTTTTGTGACCTAGTACATGGTTTCTTAGTTACTTAAAAGAAAAAACTTTTTCTGAACTTGTACCAATTTTTAAACCAGATAAACTTTAATAAATAAATTTTAATAAATAAGTTACCTAAGAATATTTTTGGAAAATTGATCATTATTTTATAATTTACAAAACACTAGAATAACACTGTTAAGTTTTTTATAAAACTTTTTTTTTTGAAGATTAAGGCCATAGGTTACACTATAACCAACTTAATTTAGCTTTATTTGAATAGTTTGCAATCCGAATGTCAAGGAACATCGCATGGAAATAAAATATTATAGTCTTTATTTTTGAATAATAATTTTTAATGTAAAAAATTTCAATTCCACAAAATAAAATAATTATTATTAATTATTACTAACTAAAACATAATTACTTGTTAATTCATCTATTTTTCTTATTAGATCAATTCTATCCATGTTCCTTAAAGCTGTTTTCAACTCCTCAAGTGTTGGATTATCATTCATTTGAATCCACGTAGTTAGCATTTTATATGCTTTTTCAAGGGTATTGGGTTTATCATGATCAATTGTGTCAATACAGTTTTCTTCAATATTTAACCAAAGTCCAAGAATTTTCCAATCTACTCCATTGCTTTTACTAAAGTTTAACTTAAACTCTTGGCTATAAAGAATGTTTTCATGTTTCTTTGCATATGTATTATTTTGTGCCATTGATTTTTCTACAAAAAAGAAATGTATATATATATATATATATATATATATATATATATATATATATATATATATATATATATATATATATATATATATATATATATATATATATATGAGTAGTCAGATTTTAATTACTTCTTGTATTAAAAAAAAGATTGATTCATCTGAGATTGTTCTTGCCAGACTTGTTGCAGTAGATCTTATTCTAATTTTTGAGTTAGAGAAAAGTATTAATATTAAAAATGGTTGGGCAGCACAAAACTTAAAAATTCCAAGTAATAGACATGGAATAAAAAGTATGCTTTTGGAATATTGCAAAAAAGTTTAATTTAGCTGATGACTTTGAAAAGTTGAAAAAAGCAGATACTCATTTTTCATTATCTTTAGATGAATGGACATCAAAGAAAAATCATCAGTATATGAGTTTAAATTTGCATTTTTTTAAAGGGCAGGTCAATCTTTTAGCATCTTAAGGATTAATGGTTCTATGACAGCAGAAAAAGCATTTGAAATGATTATAAAAAAGCTTAAAGATTTTAATTTAAATTTTAAATAAGATATTCTTAGTTTAGTGACTGATGAAAAAGTTTGATAAAAAATTAGGAAAACTTTTAAATATTGTTCATCAACAATGTCACTTCCATGGTATTCATCTTACTGTTGTAGATGTACTTTACAAAAAAAAACATTTCAAAGAATTTGACACTGACAATGAACATGCGAAGTTGATGAAAGTGATGAAGATTCTGATGATGAACTAAGTGGGGAATGGCAGAGAAAATTGGGCAACAACTTTTCTCCAACAACATTGTTTGAAAGAGCTTGGAAAACAACAATCAATGATTCTTGACACAAAGACTAGATGGAATTCTTTGATAAAAATGCCTTCAAGATATCTAAAGATAAAAAATGTTTTAGATTCAATTCTCAATGATTTGTCTGCCAGTGAACTAATACTCACTAAATCAGAAGTTGATCTCATAAGAGATTTAACTGATTGTTTAGAAATAATTGAAGTTGGAGTTACTGCTCTTTGTAAAAGAGATGTTGACATATTGACAACTGAAAAGGGTTTTGAATTTACTCTTTCAAAACTAAATGACAAGAAAAGTCTTGTTGGTAAAGATCTTTATACTGCTGTGTTAGAAAGAATCAATGAAAGAAGAAACTCTGGTATTAGTGGACTTATTAGATATTTAGACAATCCAAATTGTTATGATAAAATTACTGAAAACTCAGTCCTTTATTATCCAAAAAAGAAGGATCTTCCAAAGATAGCAAAATATCTATACAAAAGACTTTTTTTGAAAGATATAATATAAAATAAAAATAGCCCATCCATTGACTCAAATAACAAGAGTGCTGCTCTAGAGTCTAAGGAATTGTTACCAAAGAAAAGGAAATTTAATGAACTTTTTGAATATTTATCTGACACTGTTGTGGCTTCACTAACTAAAAATGTGTTATTATTTATAAAAAAAGAACTTGCATTGTTTAAAGCCTCTAATGATCGACCAAAAAGTTTGAAAAAGTTAAATTCAGCCCTTTCTTCTTTGCCACCTTCATCTATGGGAGCTGAAAGAGGCTTCAATGTGGCATTCATTACTAAACTTAAAACATCCTTAAGCAATGAAATGACCGATACATTATGTTATTTAAGGTCATATTTTACCAGAAATAAATAGTTTTCATTTGTTTGGCAAAAGCAATAAGACAATTTTTAATATAATAAACTTTGTGCTAAAACAAACGTTTTAGTACAAAGTAAATTGGTGCATGGTATTGATTTAATAATTATTTGAACTTTATATTTATTATTTGAATTATTTGAGTTATTTAAATAATTTTCAAAAAATTATTTGTTATTTAAATAATTTAATTAGTCTATTATTTGACCATTCCAATAGACAACACATATTTGTAATATATATGTATATATTATTTAACAGTATATATTATTTAAAGTTTATCAATTTATACAGAATAAAAATAACTTTAGTTAATAACAATATTAACTTTTATAATAACAATAATAGAATAATATTGGCAATAAGTAATTAAATTTTTATTATTTAATATATTGCTTGTCATAATTCAATCACAAATTATATATTAAACAATTAAAAATTTTACAACTATCTAAAGTTAATTACCTTTTAATATTAAAAGACAAGGATACTTGTTTAATTCAGCCTCCCTTTAAATAACAAATGCAAAACAAGAATTTTTAACGGTGTCCACAATACTATATTTCAAATCACAATAGTATTATAAATCAAACACACATCAAAAATAAACACACACCCATTTTACTCATGAATTTTTAGATTTTCATTTTTCAATAAAACGCTGACTAAGAAAGTTAAGATTTTATTAGTAATACTTTTAGGGATTAGATTATTTTTCGGGGTCTGTGTTTTATCAAGTTTTTAAAGTCTTATTTTTTCAATTATTTTAACGGGACGACTGAATAAGCGCGAATTTCGTAAATGCAAACTGGAATGGCGTAGGCGCGAACTGACATAAGCGCGAATTGGCAAATGGCATAAGTGCGAAGCGTTGCAAAAACTGGCAAGAGTGCAAACTGGCATAAGTGCGAATTGGCATAAGTGTGCCAAACAAATTTGCAAATTTTGGCATAAGTGCGAATTGGCATAAGTGCGAACTGGCATAAGTGCGAAAAACTGGCATATCCGATCCAAATAATATTTATTACAAAACACGCATAAAACTATTTAAATTTAGTTTGGCTTGCGGTCAAATGCGCATTTTCTAATGATAATTTTAAGGCCGATTTTCCCTTTTTTTTTTTTACGACAGCAAAAAAAAAAAAGGGAAAAAATATACAAGACATTAATAAACAGGGGGGGGGGGGGGGAGTAAATAAACTTGGGGTGGGTGGAAAAAATTTTCCAAAAATTAATAAAGGTTTTCCATTCCATTTTATAAGTCTGGCTTTTTTTAATAGCTACTATTTTTCTTTTTATTATAACCATTTTTTGGTCACTATCTATATTTTTGTTTTGTTGTTTGTTTGTTTTTTGCTTTAATTGTTTATTTTATTAAAGTGTCACTCCAATGACTAGTTTTTAGTATTTTTAACTATACAAGTGACACCAAACCTAATTTTGTAAATTTATAAATAAATTTGTAATTTTATTTAATTTATGGTTAAATAAATAAGTTAAAAAAAAAACAAAAAAAAATTTATATAAAAATATTAATATTATTTGAAAGACGATTTATATAGTGCTGCATTTTGAAAACTGCCCCATGTCAGCCTTATTTGAAAATTCATTTTCATTTACATTAGGGCATTTTGAAAAATGCCCCAATGTCAATAAAAAGGCGATGAATACTGATTTCACTTCTTAATTAAAAAATATAATTTGTGAAATCTTGAACCAAATAATGTTATCAACACCAATAGATTTGTTCGGGTTCAAACCATTCAAATAGGCTAGCGTTGCTTCAAAACTTATTATTACATCGTCTAAGCTTTCTTGATTATGTATTCTCTCAAAAACCGGTAACTGATCATTTATGCTATCATCAACAAAAACTGATTTAAAGTGTTCGTTAAGTCTGTTTGCGATATGTATTGCCTCTGTTAACGTTTCACCTTTTGCATCTGATAGCGCCAATAGATACATGTACGTTCTGTTGCGCTTTAGCATAAGCATACATTTTTTTTGGATTATTTTTATCTGATGCCAGTTGGGCTTCAAATACTCGAACACGATATGTACATGCTTTCTGAACTTGGCTTCTTAGTTTCTTATATTCACAAATGAGGGTCGTTGATCCCCAGTTTGTCATAGATAAGTAATTGCCCAGTTGTTGTTTTTTCTTTATCATAGCTAATACTTCCTTATTCATCCACGGTGCATTACGAGTAGAATGGACTTTTTTTAACGGGATGAATTGCTTGCTGAGTTTATCATATTTAATGCAGAAAAGTTCATAGCATTCGTTAGTGTTTTTATTTTCAAATAATTGCTGCCAGTTAGTTTCCATAATCTTTTTACCAAAGTTTTTATAGTCACCCTTATTAAAGTCATACTTTTTGTTTGAGAAAGTTGTCCTATTTTTAGAAAGGACGACATAATCCCAACTCAATATGCGATGACCTTGTGACAAATCACCTAACGGCATAGAGCTAGATAAATTGATTACTCTAGTTGAAGAGTCTGTAATAATTAAATCCAAAACATTTTTTGCATTTCCATTAGATGCTTCGAAGGTTGAGAAATCAACTAATTGTTCTAGATTATGATTAGCCAAAGTTACAAGAAAAACACTTGCAGCACTGTTTTGACCGCTTAGTAATTCAATTCTTTCGTCATTATGCCATTTAATATCCGGAAGGTTGAAATCACCTGCTAATAACATATAACTATACGCTTTTCTATCAACAGCTTGCTTAGCTGAAGTAATTGTTTTATTTATATCATCTACATGGGATAAAGGTGGTCTATAGACACAGCCAATAAGAATCATTTCGTTAACGATTTTAATTTCGCACCATATTTGCTCGGAGTCGCTGTTGTTTAAAGTCTCACTCAGATGACAATCAGATACCTCATGCGCAACTAGATCACGCTTAATGTAGATAGCAACCCCTCCACCGTGACCTATTCTCTTTTTTTTCACTAGTGAATAGTTATTTAATTGAGTGGCAGATGTTTCAGTAAACCATGTCTCAGAAATAAAGATTAAATCAGGCATGTTTATACCACAGTTTGCAGATAACTCGTTCATTTTAGTCGGATTAAGAGAAGTTGCGTTAGTATAAAAACATTTTAAAAGTTTATTTTTAGGGTTAGATTTTATTTTTGTATTTAATGCATTTAAATAAGTATTCACAGTTAAACGATTTGATTCATTGTGTTTTAGCAATTCTGGCTGCTTGTGCATCTTTCCATTGGATGGATTGATGTCCTGCGAGACATCAATGCATCGCAATTTATCGCTGCGGATGACAAATCTAAAGGGTTTGTCAAGTTTTCCGAGCTTGTCAAGGTCAGAATTAGCTGCTTTTAATTTAATAAATTTGTTTTGCTCTGCTGCTGTGCGGTCGGGGCGTATAATAATATCTTTAAAAGTACCCAATGCCAGTTGTTTAGCCGACGCTAGAACGTCATTTCTGATACTGAATCAACTTCAATCATAAGAGGAGCGGGTTTACTAGAATCAAAGTTCTTTTTTTATTTGAAACGTTCAATTCTAACTTCATTGACTGATTTACTTAAAGATACCATAACCTTCTTGAATTCCGCGGTAGGTATAGGTAGAATAGGTAGAACAGTTAAAAAAAAGATGATGATGGGACAGAATGACAAAAAACGGAAAAATACAGAAAGGTTGAGGTATATTTACCTATTGAAATACCCAATGAGGAATTTAGAGGATTTCAGAAACAGCTTCCATCTAATGGTGATATTCTAATATACTATCAATTTATTCTTCGCGAGTCTCAGGTTAAATACATACCCACTTCTACTAATGTTGGTTTCAAATTGAAATTGAAATCCAAGGATCTTGTTTGTGAAAATGGTGTTTGTACAGATCTTAATAATTTTTGCTTGGTAACTAGGTTTAAAAAAATTTAAGATAATGCTGGGTTGGCAAAAAATTTGTAATTTCATTTTCTAACAAATGTCTTAAAAGATTTATATATTTTTCAGTTTTTATGAAGACCAGATGTTGGATAGGAAAGGATATATGGAAACAAAAGTCGATAAAGGCTTCTTTTAATGATTTTCTTGTACCTATGGATAATTGCATTTTCTCTTATGAGTTATCTTCAGAATTATCTTTTGAGGAATTTGAAGTAGCTTTGAATTCTGTGAAAAGAAACAAAGCAACAGGAGCAGATGAAATTAATAGAAACGTAATTATAGATTGTTTCGAGATATTAAAACATGTTCTTTTTAAAGTTTTTAGAGCTTCTATAAATCAAGGAATTTTTCCAGAACAATTAAAAGTTGCTAAAGTTACTCCTATCTTTAAAGAAGGTGACAGATCAAATATTAGCAACTATCGACCCATTTCTGTTTTTACGGTATTTTCGAAAATTTTAGAAAGAATAATGTCTAATAGAATATACAAACATCTCAACAAAAATAACTTACTGTACAAAAAACAATTTGATTTTAAAAATGATAACTCAACAGAGCATGCAATAATCCAGTTTGTGCATGAAATCTCAAAATCTTTTGAAAAATCACAGTACTTGTTAGGTATCTTCATTGACCTATCAAAAGCTTTCGGCACGGTAGATCATCACATTCTGCTTCAAAAACTTGAATATTATGGAATTAATGGTATTGCCTTAAAATGGTTTAGAAGCTATTTAACAAAAAGAAAACAATTTGTAATTAGTAACGACGGCTATCAAAATAATTGTCTTGATATCGTCTGCGGTGTTCCTCAGGGTTCAATCCTCGGGCCCCTACTTTTCTTGATATATATAAATGATCTGAATAAAGCTTCTAACCTTATAAGCATTATGTACGCAGATGATACCAATCTATTCCTCTCAAACAGTAATATATACGAACTCTTTACTACTATGAATAAAGAATTAAAACATATATCAAACTGGTTTAAATGTAATAAGCTAACTTTAAATATTAATAAAACCAAATGGACTCTATTCCATTCGCATGCAAAAAAGCGATTTTCACCAATAAATTTGCCGCAACTTTTTATTGACGAAATTGAAATAAAAAATGATTCCGTTACAAAATTCTTAGGTGTTTATCTCGATGAAAACATCTCCTGGAATCAACATATTAATTATATATCTACTAAAATTTCAAAAAACATTGGGATTCTATATAACGCTCGTAACTACCTAAATAAAAATTGCTTAAAACAACTTTATTACTCTTTTATCCACAGTTACATAAATTATGCCAACACTGCTTGGGGGAGTACTGTAAAAAGTTAAAACTTCTTTATTGTCGTCAAAAGCATGCGATCCGCATAATTAACTATGCCGATCGTTTTACACACACAAAACCTCTTTTTACTGAAATGAGATTGTTAAATTTATTTGAACTCAATGTATTTAAAGTTTTATGTTTTGTATATCTATGGAGAAATTATAAATCCCCTACCGTTTTTAATAATACTTTCAAACTCAAACCTAACAACAAATACGACATGAGAAACATAAACGTTTTAAATGAACCATTTTGTCACACAAAATTTAATTAATTTTGCATTGCTTATCGTGGACCCCA